TATGAAATCTCTGTCTTCAGCCCAGATCTCTCCAGAACTCTGGTTGCCCTTGGAGACCACCCCGGATGTGCTACAGGGACCTACAAGACACAGAACAACAGGCTCAGGACACAGACCAAAAAGGACAGAGTTGGAGGCAAGATAAACCAAGGAAGAGTTGGTCAGACTGGTCCAGACAACAGTGAAGGTGGCCTGAACTAGGCGCAGGCAGAGGGCAGAAGTGGAGATGAAGTGCAGAGACATTCAGGGAGTGGAGAGCACCAGAGATGGGGGCGAGGTTCCGTTGGAGGGAGGGGGGATAGAGGAGGAAGGGAGCTGACTCTGGGGGTCTGCTGGGTGTGGGGAGTGGGGGTTGCTGTCTTGCATTTACCTGTTAATGTGACCGAGAGATCCCCCCAAAAGGACAGGGGATGGGTTACAAGTGGCTCTTACCGAGGGGGAGGGCAAGGCTGTTGACCACAGAGCGGTTGAGTCAGGGTTCCTGCCCAAAGATGGCTCAAGCCATCAGCCCCCTCTGCCAGATCCCTGCAGGGAAGCTTGAGCTGATCCGGTCCCAGCCTCGGTCCCAGGTAAGACCTGCAAGAATGTATAAAGGGTTCAGCGACAGGGCCTTGGACCTAGTTGAGGGCCGGAGACCACTCATTGCCCACCAGAGTAGACTCTGAGATCCTGGGCGGGCTGTAGGCCTAGAGATGCCATGACGGGATCATGTCCCTCCCTTGCTTTAAACCTGTCCATGGCTCTCTACTTCCTCCTGGAGCATGTCCAACCCCTTGTCCTGGCTTTCAAGGTCCTTGAAGTGCCAGGCTCAGCTAGCTCCACCTTAGGCAAAGAGCCCTGGCTGCCAATCTCATGGTTCCCTCAGCGGGATGACAGCTTCAACGATACCACTGCAGCCTGCAAATCACCAAACCTTTCTCTATGCTGCCAGTTCTGCTTGGATTGCTACTTCCCATATAGCTGCACCCAGGGCCTGCCCATCTGTGGAGACTCAACTCAAGGAAATCCTCCAGAAGGCTTTCCTGGGGGACTTCCCTGGCAACCTGGTGGTTAAGACTCGGAGCTTCCACGGCAGGGGGCATGGGTTTGATCCCTGATCTCTGGTCAGGGAACTAAGACCCCACATGTCATATGGTACAGTTAAAAAAAGGAGGGGTGGGGGTTTCCTGACCTTGCAGAGGAGTCACTATGCCTCCCCAAATTAATGTCACCCTCCTTTGGCACCTTAATGAGCTGGCATATGCCTTTCTCTTTCTATGACCTGTGAGGGTCTGGGGAGCTGGAGCACATTGGATTCACCCAGTGTACCCCATTGTGGGGGGGTCATGGGTGCAGTAGGACATTCAAGGGTGGCTGCAAAGGTCTTCCCAGCTCTGTGGGTTCAGTCTAACTCAGTGTGTGTGGCTGGGGAGGACACAGGTAGGGAGAGCCAGTGAGCAGTGAAAGCTGCTTTATTTGGGCAGTGAAGGGTGGGAACACGGAGACCCCAGGAGAGAGGGCGAAGGGACAATCTTCACCCACAGAAAGGGGACGGAGGGCTGTGCAGTGCTCCCGGGCCATCTTCCTGCTCATCCTGGCTTGGCGCAAGTTAGCCTCGGGACCGTGATGTGATGAACCTGAAGCTGTTTCCCCAAATTCCTGGAAAACAGACATCAGTGACACTCTTCCGGGACCTGGGGCACAGGGTGTGCCGCTGAGCACACCAGACTGTCCTGGCTCCTGCGCAGCTCTGCTGTGAACTTGTGGGCGTCCTTGGACAAGTCACTTCATGGCGCTGAGCCTCAGTCTCCTTATATGAGGATAATGGAAACATCAGTGGTACCCACCTCAAGGGTTGTGATGAAGCATGCAAAGTTTTAGCATAATAACTGGCCGAAAGTAAATGTGGAATAAATATTAGGTGTTATAACTGTTTTATCAAGAGACCTGGGTTGTGGTCCCAGTTCTGCCACGTTTTCCTCTCCGGACCTGCCTGAGTTTCCATCTATAAAATGGAATGTTGAAGGATTAAATGAAATAATGGATGTGGCAGAGGCTCGTAAGATGCGTGATCGTCTTTGCCCCTCTGAGGTTCCCCTCCCTGGGGCTGCAGAGGAGTGGTCATCTCCACTCTGTCAGGTCTTTGCTGGGCTCTCTGTCCAGGCAGGATCTGCTGCCACAGGCCAGTCCATCTCCTCTCCTCTGTCCATGGGGCAGAATGAGAGGAAAGGGCTGTGGTTGCCCCAGCAGGGACTGTGGTTACACAGGACGAAGGACTTCCTTCCGGACTGCAGGATGCTATCCTGGGAAGGAGCCAGAGATCGTGGGACTGAGGCTGCCGAGGGGAGGGGTTGCTTCCAGGGGAATATCCAGACCAGGCAGGTTAGGCCAGAGTGGGCCAGTGGAGTGAATCAACTCAGCAGTGACCTCACTTCCAGAGATCTTGGAGGGCCCTGTTGAAACCCATCTCATCCCCACCCCTCCCCAAGATCAGAGAGACAACAGAAAGGAACAGAGACATAGCCAAGGGGTATTACAAGATAGATAGCTAAAGGCAAAGGGCCACACATGAGACAAACATGCAGGCTGTTCCCTCCAGCCAGATTCTTCCCAGAGTCTGGAGTGGCTGCTCTCTCACTCTTCAAGCCTTGATCTACAGTTACCTCCTCAGATAAGACCTCCTGGCCAACCCATCCATTCAACACCCTTTAGTGAGCCCCCGTTATGAGTCAGGCATTGTTCTAGATCTATGAACAAGACACAGGCTGTGCCCTCTCCACACAACATAGCACTTGGCCCACTTCATCCTTCTCAAACACAGCACACTGTTTATCTCTGACTTCTCTTTATTGTTGTCTCCCCACCAGAATGTAAGCTCCATGAGGGAGCCTCAACTATTCTTTTCACCAATTTGAACTCAGTGACTCAGGATATAAATCTGACACAACCCTCTAAAATAGGCCCTGATAAATACTTGCTGAATAACCGAATGGACACAGAAACCAGGGACAGACAGACACACAGAGAAACAGAACCATGTTCAGAGGTGATGCAACATTCAGAGATGCCCCCAAATGTGAAGCACACACAGACACACACGGGAGAGTGTCCTTCAAGCAGACCAATTCACTTAGTTCATTCAGCTTGGTCACCAAGCCTGGGGCTGGGGTCAACTCTTGTCCTGAAACTGACCCAGTTGGTGACCAACGCCATGATATATTCTGGTTTCCACACTCCCTGCGCCAGGCTCAACTTGGCACTGTGTTTGAAGAGCCCTCTTTGAAACTCTATTCTACCCCTTTAGTTGTCTTTTGATGAACAGAACTTTTAATAGAGACGAATCTGTCAATCTCCTAAAAAAATGTTTGTGGTGGTTTGAAAAGGGCAGGGATGAATAACCCCGCAGAAACCCACGCCCAGCCCGCGGGGCCTTTATCACTGCGGCTCATCCCCTCTGGGTCCTCGAGCCTGGAAGGCAAGGCGGACTGACCTCGCGCCTGGGTATCTCCGTTCCCCACCCCAACCTCCGCCAGGTCCCGCCCCTAGGCCCGCCCCTCCGAGGTCGCGCCCTCTGCGGGCCCCGCCCTTCACCGGCTCTCGGGGGTGCCGGGGATCTAGATATCTTTTCCTCCTGCCCAGGTATTGGTAGTTAATATTCTGCCACCGGTGCTTCCACCTAGGGAGGGAAAAGTGGGCCGCCAGGACGGGGGCAAATTCGACTCGCTCTGGGATTACGCCCACTGCCTTCCGTGGACTGTCGCTTCAGGCCCCGCCCTTAACCACCCAGTTCCGCTCCCTCTTCCCCCTCCCAGCCTCAGTCAAACCAGCTTATCCAACCCCTGACCGACCCTCGGGTCTGGGGATCCGCCTCTTCCACAGACCCCGCCCCTGCCGTAGGCTCCGCCCCTCCCTCCGAGGCCCTCGCGGGCCTCCGCCCCACCCCTCTCAGGTCCTCCGCCCCGCCCACCCGGGGGCCTCCGCCTCCGACCCGCCCCGCCCGCGCGCTCACAGGAGGGGCGGGCGCGCTCCGTAGCAGCTGGGCCCCGCACCGAGGGTACGTCCGCCACCCCGGTGGCCACCGGCAGCAGTAGCAGGTTGCGCGCGGGCCAGCGCCAGGCGGTGCCCGGCGAGCGGCTGCGCTGCGGGCTCATCTAGTAATCGCCCAGGCTTCGGCGGTCGGCGGGCGCCCGCAAGACCGGGCTCCGGCAGCCCTAGAAACATAATTCCTAGTCCAGGCGGTGCGGGGGCGTGGCCCGGGGGCCCCCGTAGGGGAGACAGGGCATCGGTCCCCCCAGGAGGCGCGACTCGCTGGGAGGAGGCGGCCTCCTCGGATCAGACGCCGCGGGGCGAGGGTTGGGATCACTCCTGGCCCAAGCTGGGGAGGAGGGAGATTGGAGGCCCCTCTCGGGGTCTTCCCAAGGACCTGCGCTCCTCCTCCCCGCCTGCTGCCAGACCCGGGGCCTTTATCTCGCCGGCACCCTCCTCTGGACCCCTTCACCGGGACAGAAGAAAATTCACCACCAAGTGGGCAGTCTCGGTGAATAGCATAGTGTCCAGGCCGCCTGATCCTCTTCGACTTCTTTTAATAACTGCTGGGACGTGGAGGGGGAGCCCTGAAAGCCCATATTCCCCTCGGGCCCCGCTGTTTTTAGCAGGAGGCCTCAGCTGCCAGAGCCGGGTGGGGCAGCACCAGGCCCTCTGGCGGGGTCTAGTCGGTGGTCTTTCTTCACCAGCCGCTTCAGGGGGAGGGGGTTGGTCACCACCGCTGGGGGATTCCCTGGGACGCTAGTCCCGCAGGGTCAGGGACAGAAAGACAAGGACGGAGGCAGCAAGAGGGGCCCAGGAAAGGTCAGCTGCTGTTTGGATCAACCCTTCCTTTTATTTCAACCAGGGGCCTCCATCTTCTGCTTACACACCCGCGATGGTGTGCTCAGGAAGACGCCACACCTCAAAAGGCCTCACTGTTTCCAGGCTTCAGAGCTCCCCACCTCTGCCCCCCTGGCCCTTGCAGGAGCCTTTCCCTTGCTCCAGGAAACTCTTGAATCAGAGGCGGAAGTCTCCTCAGCCAACTCTAGTTCAGATATATCTAGAAGCCAGGGATGAGTCTGTGGGTCTTCACTAAACTGTCTGCCAAGTTCAAATACACATATATTTCTGGAAGGAATCTAGAAATCTAGAAAGGGTCCCTGACATCTGTCTCACCCTCCAGCCAAAAATTAAAAAAAAAAGTTAAAAACCCTAACGTAAATTTTTTTTGCAGAAAGGGAAATAGATTCAGAGAGGGACAGCAAAAAGCCAGTTTACTCTGCCTGCCCCTACAAAGGGTAAGACAACTTCCCTGTGCCCTTGTCCTGCTCAGGGCATGGGGTTCAGGGCTCATAGCCCAGGCTGGGCCCTGCTCCCCCACGCCCTGGGGAACATGTTGGCCCTGTGCCCTTTTCTATACTGCCAGTTTGGGCTGTTTCCCCCAGTGACTCACACTGGCTCCTGGGAAGAGTGGGCAGCTATTTGGAGTCCCCGGAGCCCTGTACAGGCTTGCCCCCCACCCCAGTTGTGTGGCCATATTTGGGGATTTCACCTTCTCTTTTCTCTCCTTGAGGAATTTCCCTCCTCTCATCCCTTCCTCCTTTCCCTGTCTCCAACCTCTGACTCCCTGATGGCTGTTTCCCAGCAGCAAACAAACAGGCTCTAGTCTTTCCTATCTTTCAAAAAGAAGAAAGCCTTCCTTCGACCCTGGGTCCTTCTCCAGCTCCCCTTCACAGCCAAGATTCTTGAAAGAGTTGTGTGCACGTGTTGTTTCTACTTCCTCACCCTACCCCTGCAATCTGGCTCCCTCCCTCACCATTCCACGGGAACAGAAACAGCTCCTCAAGGTCACCACTGACCTCCTTGTTGCTAAATCCCAGGGATGCTCATGAGTTATTATCTGACTTGACCCTTTAGCAGTGACCGACTTTGACACAAACACTCTTTCCTATTTGAAATATTTTTGGGCCTTTGTTTTTCTGAACACTGCAGTCTTGACTTATTTGCTATCTCACCAGTTGCCGCCACGTGGCAAATTTCTCATTTGTTGCTCATTGCCTAATCATGGGTGTTCTTGGGCCTTGTAGTATGTCCTGGGGATCTTGTCGGTTCCTATGCCTTTAATGCCCACCTCTGTCAGAGACTCACTTCTGTCTCAGCCCAGACCCCTCTTCCCTGCCCAAGACCTGTCTCCTGGCCCCCTTCTTCTGGATGTCCCACTTCACAGCAGACATGCCCCATACCTGTCCCTCCGATGTTCCCCAGCTTGGCTGTTTCCTCCGTTGCCTGAACTGGGAATCTGGGCCTGGTTCTAGACTCTTCCCTGTCTCTCCATTTTCATAGTCAAGCAGTTACAAAATCCTGTCCTCTCCAGGATGTCTAAAATACAGTTGCTTTTCTCCATTTCCACTGTTCACACCTGGTTCAGGGCCCCATCGCCTTTCACCTGGGAGGCTGCAGCAGCTTCCTGAGTGATCTCCTCCTGCTCCTTGCCATCTCTTCTGTGGTCTGTTCTTACAGAGCAGCCAGGGCTGTCTTTCCAAGACTTGAATGTTTCCCTCTTCACAGTGTCATCAGCACCATGTTCATCGTGGCACAGGCCAGTCTCGGGGCTGGGGATATTTCCCACTGCCCTGTCCTTGTGTGGGTGACCGCTTCTCGTTTTAATTTCAGGGTCAGTTCCTTAGGGAGGCCATTGCAGATCCCCCAACTGCCTCTGCTGTTCCTTCACCTCGCCGCGCTCGGCCTCCCCTCTGTGGACCCACCAGCCGTTGTTCAGTAGCCAGTCTAATCGACAGACATTCTACCAACTCCTGAGCCCTTCCGTTCTCAGCCCCGGGATGTCAGGGTGAATATGACACAGCCTCCGCCCTCGGTGAGTCTGTAGTGTAATGGGGTGAATAGGCATTCAACAGGGATCCGGGAAGAGGTGAGGACACGGTGGGACAAGCAGGTGCTCTGGGAGGGAACGGACAGGTGGTCAGAGGAGGCTTCTTTGAAGACTGACAGTTGGTGGAGATCTGAGGGGTAAGGGGGGTGGGAGGAGGCTATTCCAGGCAGAAGGAACAGCGTGCTGAGAGGTGGAAAGAAGGTTTTGTGAACTCAGGGGTGTCCTCGTGGTTGGGCAAGTCACGTAAAGGAGCCATTGATGAGATTTAAATAGGAGAATTACATGGCTGGGTTGTGGTCTTTATAGAATAATTTGGGGCTGGAGGAATCAAGCAGGGAAGGAAGTACAAGACCATAAGACCAGTTAGGAGGAGACTTCCTTGCAGAGGCTGTGGGTTTGATCCCTGGTTGGGGAACCAAGATCCCACAGGCTGCGGAGCAGCTGGGCCTCTGTGCCACAGATAGTGAGCCCACGTGCCACAATGAAAGATCTCACATGACACAGTGAGGATCCCAGGGGCCACAATGAAGACCCAACTCAGTCAAATAAATCAATAAAAAGTATTTTAAAAATTTAAAAAATAAATAAAAAGAAGAAAAAACAGGTTGGGGGGCCACTGGAGTCATCCAGATGAGTAGCAATTGGAATCTGATTCAGGGCAATATGGTGGAATTAGAGAATGGACTGTGGGCGCCTGGACTGGGGCCTGGGGAAAAGAGAGGGAGTGAGACTGATTGCAGTGTCTTCACCCCAAGGGAGGGTGGGGAGAGGCCCATGGATCCCTGTGGGGTCCAACCCACTGATCTACCTGGTGTCAGATTGCCTGATGTCTCCCCATGGCCCTGATCCATGCTTTTTCCTAGAGGAGCAGATGGAGTCTCGAGAGGTAGATGGCTGCTAAGAAGGCCTAGGAGGAGGGGGCAGATGGGAGGAGGAAGGGGAAGTCGGGTCAGGGTTTGGAGGTGATGAGGTTCCAAGGAAAGCGGCATCCGGAGTTTCCTCAGATTCCGGAAATTCCACTGTCCCTGGATTCACCTCCCCCATTCCTTCTTTAATTAATTGATTTTTACTTTTGTTGCTCTGGGTCTTTGTTGCTGCATGTGGGTTTTCTCTAGTTGCTGTACGCGGGCTTCTCATTGTGGAGCTTGTCTTGTGGAGCACAGGCTTTAGGGTGTATGGGCTTCGGTAGTTGTGTTCAGGCTTAATTGCTCTGTGGCATGTACTGGGATCGTCCCAGACCAGGGCTTGAATCCATGTCCTCTGCACTGGCAGATGGATTCTTCTCCACTGTCCCACCAAGGAAATACCCCACCCCCCACCAATTCTGAGATGCTCAAACTCAGGGCCAGTTCTTGGGAATCCTGGAAGCCTTTTAGGGGCTGTGAGTCTATATCTGAAAAGCCACAATGCCCTGACAGGTCCCCAGGACTCTAGAGAGTCACTAACATCAGTGTGTACTTCCCATGAACTGGCCCAGTGCCCTTGATCCCCTGCAGTCCTCACATTAACCCTTGGAGGCATGTGGCTTTCTATCCCCATTGTATATACCAGTCTTCCAGGGTTAAGGGACTTGCTCACATTCAAACATCTAAAACCATGCAAAAAGAGGATTTGAACCAAGGTTTGACTGACATCAGAGTCTGTGCTTTTAACTCCTGTGCTATATTAAGCCTGTCGACCCCTTGGTTGATTGGCTCAGTAAAGGGAGGAGGCTTTGTGGGGGATTTGCTTGTGGTTGGGGTGGCTGCCCCCCTCTCATATCAAGCGATGGGAAAGGGTAGCACTGACGTCAATTGTTGCCATGGCAATACAGCAACCCTTTCCCTGCCATCTCCATGGTAACCAGGGGGGGTCCATCTGTACTTCGCCCCCTCCTTCTAAAAGAGGGTCCCCTAGGGAGGGGCTGGCTAATAAGGTGTTTGAGAGAGAAGTCGGGGAAGGCAGGGATTTGAGTATCCTTCTTTGACTGGGCCCCTCCCCATTCCTCAGGCAGAAAATGAGGCTGGGATGTGGGGGTCCTGCTTTGGGGTCTGCATGCATGCTAAGTCACTTCAGTCATGTCTAACTCTTTGCAACCCCAGGACTGTAGCCCACCGTGATCCTCTGTCCACTGGGATTCTCCAGGCAAGAATACTGGAGTGTGTTGTCATTCCTCTCTCCAGGAGATCTTCAAGACCCAGGGATCGAACTCAATGTCTCTTACGTCTCCTGCATTGGCAGATGGGTTCTTTACCACTAGCGCCACCTGAGTAGCTTTGGGGTCTGGGGACAGCTTTATCCTCTAGGGTGAGGAAGGCAGTTCTGCTTTTCCTACCTGGGGATTCCCCTGAAAATGCCCCCTGCCCCCAAGTTCCTTAGCTCCTGAGCAGGACTGATAGGAACTTGACAAAGGGAGGCAAGAGAGAATCCAGATACCCAGCCCTTGGGGACAGGGCTAGCTGGCTCTCTGCTGCCCCTTGAAGCCAAAGCCAGCATCCTCTTTCGCTCAGTGCTAGCTGTGCCTGAGATTCCTGCCTGGTGCATGACTTTACTGAAACCTTCCACCAGATGTCATTAGCCCCATTTTACAGATTTGGAAATAGAGACTCAGAGAGGCTAATTAGCCCAAGGTCGCACAGCTAGTAAATGACAATTAGGACTCAAATCTAGGACTAGAGTTTAGGCCAGTGACTTTTCCTGGGGAAAAAAGGAAGAAGCAACAGAGAACATGATGGAAAAGGAAAAGAAAAATAGAGTCAAGCGACCCAGGTTGGAGCCTGTCACTCTCCCTGTCACCTACAGAACAAGTTCAAACACACAGTCTCCCTGATCCAGCTTCTCTTCTGTTAACTCATCCCCGGGTCCCTTAAATTCTCAGCTCTCCGACAGGGACCTGCCACCACCTGGTATGGCCCAGATAGGTGTTGGTGAAAGTTGATTGAACTGAATTCCTTAAACTTCCCTGCCTCCAGGCTTTTGCCCATTGTGTTCCTTTCACCTGGAATGCCCTTTCCTCTTGCTCCTGGCCATTTTAGAGCTATCTAGCTCCAGGGTCTGGCCCATTGGCAAGGTGTTTGTCGGTATTTTTTGTTATCCCTCACTAACCAAACATATGAAAGCGGCAGTAAGTTTTTTATTTTCCCTTTTCTTTTTTGGCCATGTCTCACAGCTTGTGAGATCTCAGTTCCCTGACCAGGGATTGAACCAGGGCCGTGGGAATGAAATCCCGTTATCCTTACCACTAAGCCACCAGGAAACTCCCAGGCAGTAAATCTTTTTTTTTTTTTTTTTGAAGGAAAGGAGGGTTCCAGAAGCCTAGAGAAAGGAAATGAGGGAGATAAGAGAGAAAGGAAGAATGGGAAGAATTCTGCATCTGTGGGCTGGGAAGGTCCATTGAGATCAGCTGGTGCTTTTTTTTTTTTAAGCTAGTGAGGAAATGGACCAGAAGGAAGGGACCTGCCTCCTAGCAGGTCATTGCCAGGCCATGTGAGTTTCATGAGAGTTAAGGCCCATGTTTGTCAGTTTCATTGCTGACATTGTCCTGCATAGGCCTGGCTAGTAGACCTGTATTGACTGAGACAGGGACAAAATCTGAAAGAGAACCCAGTGGCCTGACTCCTGGTCGCACTTTCCAAGGCTCCTCGTTGCCATGGAGCTGTGTTGTTCCCTGGCCTCTATCAAACTCAATCCATTTTTTTTTTCAGGCTTCTTTACCTCCCAGGGATACTTGATCACTGCATAAGTGGTCTCTGCTCCTGGAATGTTTTTTCTTCATCATTACCTGTTATTTTGTAGTGATGCTGTCAATCACCTGACTGTGCTTGCACCTCAAGGTAGGCTTACCTGTGGCTTAGCCTGGTCAATTGTAGTCTTCCATCTCCCTGACAGTGGTAACTGGCCCAAGGAACATGCTTGTGATTTTAAAACGGGTCAATCATCGCCCTTTCCAGGAATAGGTATATCGAGTTGGGGGAAGCAGCTCTCCCCTTCTGGGATTTATTTTTAGGTGGTGGGGGGCTGTGTTGTGTGGCATTTGGGATCTTTGTTCCCCACTCAGGTATTGAACTTGGGCCCCCTGCCGTGGAAGTGCAGAGCCCTAACCAGGTAATGCTGATTTCCTGGGACTTCAAAGCTGAGGCAGCCGTGTTCCCTGCCCAGAGGAGATAATCAGGGATGTATGTGAGTGTGTGCATGCTCAGTCGCTTCAGTCGTGTCCAACTCTTTGCGACCCTATGGACTGTAGCCTGCCAGGCTCCACTGTCCATGGGATTCTCCAGGCAAGGATACTGGAGTAGGTTGCCATGCCCTCCTCGACGGGATCTTCATGACCCAAGGATCCAACGTGCATCTCCTGCATTGGTGGATTCTTTACCACTAGCGCCACCTGGGAAACCCCATGTTGAATCAAGTGTCCTTAAATCTCAGGGGACAGAAGACTGAGCCTGACCTTTGGGTTACATATGTTTTTTTCTGATACTAAAATAATGCAGGTTCATTAAAGCAAAATTAGAAAGTGGGAAATACTCATTCAGCTTCCAGGCAGCCCTCCTGTCATGGGCCCCTCCCAGAGATGCATTTTGCTGCCTAAAGTCTGAGGACACTGAAGAGTGCACCTGGGGGAGCCGGCGGAGGGGCCAAGTGGCTTAAGGCTCAGTTCTCTCACCTGTAAAACAGGAATAAGAAATCAGTTTTTCAAACGACTTCTTCCCCCATCTTTCTCTGATCCCACCAGTCCTTAGGAGAAACCAGGGGTAGAGATGGTGGGGGCAGCCCCTAATCCCTCCAACAAAGCCAGAGAGGCCCAGGGTCACAAAATAGAAGGCAGCAAAACCAAACTCCATCTTTGGAGAATTAAATGGGGCCGGGGTGGGTGGCCATTCTCTTTATTTTGAGTTGTCTGTCCATCTCCTTGTCTCAAGCTTTTCTGGGCCCCCAGAGTCCAGCACAGTAATGCTGATTTTCCTGGAGAGACGAAGGGGAGTATCGGGGAGAAGGATGAGGGCAGCGCCCAAGCAGAAGCACGGCCCTGGAGCGGGTCGTGACCAGTGGGAAAAAAATGAGGGGAGGGTTTGGTGCCCAGCCAGAAGCTAGCAGACCCGGAGGGAAGGGCGGGCCCCTGGGGCTGGGCCCAAGGGAGGAAGCAGCAGAGGGAAAGGTGATATTGGATGGGGCGGAGCAGCCGGCGGGCCGAGCCGACGGGATAAGATAGACACGGCCAGCCGGAGTGGAAAGAACAGTTTATGCTGTGCTTTATTAAAATGTGCATCATTCTTTTATTTTAAAATGTGCATCATTGTCTCGTGCTCGGTGCGCTCGCGACCTCAGCGTGGTGGCCCGCGGCGGGCCCCGTCCCCGCCCGGCTCCCGCGGAGCCGCCGTGCGCAGGCGCACTCAGGTGGCGCGGGCCCGGGGGCTCCCGCCCATGGCCAGGTAGACGTCGATGGGCACGTGCAGCAGCGTCAGGCAGTGGCAGCCGGGACAGCGTCGAAGCGGCCTGTGGAAAGCGGGGCGCGACAGGGGGCGCTGAGGCGGCGGCCGGCCCCATCCTGTAGGGGGCGCATCAGTCCCAGAGGTTCGGGCGTGGGTGCGGGTTGGTCCGGGAACAGAAAGTGGGCAGGGGTGGGGCCGCGGGCAGGGGCGCTGGTCTCACCTGACTGGGTTGTGCTCCGTAGCTACCGGCTCCGGGCTGTCCTGGGACTCGGGGGCGGCGGCAAGGCCAGGGGAGTCTCCGGCCTCAATGGGGAATCTCCGACCTTGCGGGGGCTCCTGGGCACTCATGTCCAGGCCCCGGGGCGCTCTGCGCGGGGAGTGGCGGTCAGGCCGCTCCCGGGCCGCCTGGCGCCCCCTCCCAGCGCCCGCCCCCTGGGCTGTTGCTCACCTGCCGGAGGCCGAGGCCGGTCCCAGGCTGGAAGCAGCTGCCCGAGCCCTGGCCGCGGGAGGACGCTCCGGTCCAGGCGGAGCCGGGCAGGTGTCTGCGGCGCGTCCCGGCCTGGACGTCGAGGGGGAGGGCTGCATTGTGACCCGGGTCGCGGCGCGCTGACCTCACAGAACTCGTTCCTCTAGCTGGGGAACCCCACGCCGCCCGGGCACTTAGCGCGGCAGCGAGCCGGGAGCTGGAGGGCTGTGGCCATGGGTCGCGCAGACCCCCTGCTGCCCGATGGGGGCGTCCACGGAACAGAGCTTGGCATCCCGGGCCCAGCGCAGACATCGGCAGCAACCCTTACAGGCGGGGCTATGACCCACTGCCTGGCGCGGGGGCGGGGCACGGAGGTGACTTAACCCGTGCTAGGTTTTGCGGTGGTGGTGGTGCTGTTGAGGGCAGATGGGGCATTGCCCATTTTGGCCCAGGGTCACACAGCATTTACATCACAATTGGGCCAGAGTTTTAAAATGTCTGACCCTCTCCCTCCCCACCACCCGCGGCTCCTGTGTCCAGACGGAGAATGTTGTAGCGCTGGGGGCAGCTGCGGATGAAGTCCTTGGGGGGAAAAGAAGCGGGCCGAGGGCGATGGTGGAGTAGAGCTGCCTCGCAGAGGCAGCATGAGCTGAGAGGGTGATAGGAAGGAGGTGCTAGACAGCATGGAGGACTTTCTGCTCTCCAATGGGTACCAGCTGGGCAAGACCATTGGGGAAGGGACCTACTCAAAAGTCAAAGAAGCAGTTTCCAAAAAACACCAAAGAAAAGTGGCAATTAAAATTATAGACAAGATGGGAGGGCCAGAAGGTGAGCTGGGGCCCCTTTGGAGTAAGGGAGGGCTGGCTGAGGTGGGCGGATGCTTCCTCCAGTCAGAAGGATCAATTCCCTGCTCCCCTTTAGTCCGGAACTAAAGAAAGCAAGAGAGGCTGTGGCTCTGGGGTCAGTCAGCGGGGAACAGAGGGAGTCCAGGAAAATTACACCTTCCAAAAGTCCAAGATGAATGTGGCAGGTGGTGAAGGACCCTCAGAAGCAGAGTCAGAGCCTACCAGGCCTTTCTTATTCTAGGTGGTCAAGCGATTGGCCAGGCCATGGCCAGGGCTAGCAGAGAGCAGGAGCTGGTGCAAGGGAGAGAGATGGGGGAAAGACAGGGCTCATGGGAAGAACTGTGGGTCAGGGGGCACAGGTGAGAGGGGCTAGCTTACCACGCTGTGGGCAAATCAGGCCTCATAACTGAGTTCAATAGATTTGTCTAAAAGTTCCCAAAAGCGCTTTGCTATCCATGGTCTCACAGGCTGCTCACAACAGTCCCTGAGGCTGACGGACCAGTTCCTTTGAATAATATATTAATTACAAAAACAACAGAGGTTAAAACTCTTTGCAGTGTCCAGGCAGCTCGACGCTAAAGGATGTTAAAGGGAACCAAGGCCGACGACCCAGACATGGTGGGCAGACAGAAGTTGGAAGGCAGGAGACAGAGGGAGGAGTTAGGCTCTTCTGGACTTGATTCTCCATCTCTTTTGTTTCCTTAAGAGTTTATCCAGAGATTCCTGCCTCGGGAGCTCCAGATTGTCCGTACCCTGGACCACAAGAACATCATCCAAGTGTATGAGATGCTGGAGTCTGCCGACGGGAAAATCTACCTGGTGATGGAGCTGGCTGAAGGAGGGGATGTCTTTGACTGTGTGCTAAATGAGGGGCCACTGCCCGAGAGCCGGGCCAAGGCCCTCTTCCGTCAGATGGTCGAGGCCATCCGCTACTGCCATGGCTGTGGCGTGGCCCACCGGGACCTCAAGTGTGAGAACGCCTTGTTGCAGGGCTTCAACCTGAAGCTGACAGACTTTGGCTTTGCCAAGGTGTTGCCCAAATCACGCCGGGAGCTGAGCCAGACCTTCTGCGGCAGCACCGCCTACGCCGCCCCCGAAGTGCTGCAGGGTGTTCCGCACGACAGCAAGAAGGGTGACATCTGGAGCATGGGCGTGGTCCTGTACGTCATGCTCTGTGCCAGCCTACCTTTTGACGACACAGACATCCCCAAGATGCTGTGGCAGCAGCAGAAGGGGGTGTCCTTCCCCACTCATCTGGGCATCTCGGCCGGATGCCAGGACTTGCTCAAGCGGCTCCTGGAACCAGACATGATTCTCCGGCCTTCAATTGAAGAAGTTAGTTGGCATCCATGGCTAGCAAGCACTTCATAAAAGCAATGGCAAGTCCTCCCCAATAAAGTAGGGGGAGAAAGCAAACCCAAAAACCCGCTTCTAAAATGGTGATATATATATTTTACATTTTAAGTTTACTTATCCTAAACTTACCTACACCCTCCCCAGCCTTACTTCTCTTTCCCTTTAAAGATCTTCATGGAACCAGAGGGCCTCATTCAGACTTCCCTTTTATTATGGCTGACAAGTGATTTTCATACAGGTGTTTAACTAAAGTTACTTAAAAATAGACCCCAGAATCATACACATACAGGGGGAGGAGAGAAAAATGACCAAGAACAACTGGAACCACTGTTGTTGCATCTTCCTTTCCAAATAAAAGCAGAAGCGTTGGGAATGCAGAAACGGCCTCTTGATTCCTTGTCTTGGTGAGAGGCCTTCTGGGGGCCCTGTCCCTTCCTCACCCCAAAAGACGAGGTGAGTCTGGGATGAAGACAAGGGATTTCCTTGGAACCCAGGCTACCACCTCCCATCCTGACCTCTCCCCCAGGATCCAAGCAGGAGGGCACCTGCACACTGTCTTGCCCTGGCTCTGGGGCAGCTGCTGCAGGGGACAAGAACAGAGCACCTTCCAGCTTCTGTTGAATCTCTTTAATAGCTGTTAACAGCAAGTCTGGAAAAGGTTCAGGACAAAGTTCTTTTTTCTTTCTTTTTTAATTACAAAACTAACAGCTGTTAGAGTCTTTTTTTTTTTTTTTCCTTTTTTCTTATCCCGGCTACAAAATACTCTGGGGAGATACATTATAATTTAAAATATATAATATTGCACAAACAACCAAAAGGTTAATTAAACTAAAGAAATAATTACAAAGAGAAAAACCCCATCCCGTGAAAAAGAAAAAAAAAAGATTCAGCATTCTCTCCATCCCACCCCCTCACTGAAGGTTTGAAGTGGAAGTGACCACCACTCTCTTGGTGTCCCTCACCATGATCCCTTTAAATCATTGGTGCATACACCAGATTATGCACAAGAATCACCAGAGCAGCATCGTGAAGCACCAGGGTCTCCAAGCATTCCTGCAGCCCCTCGTTCCCCCCAGAGAGGTGCAGCTTTACCAGCGTGGAGGGTGACAGCCACCAAGACTGGATCTGCCTTCAGGAGGAAGAGCTTTTGCAGAAGCCTGTCGAGAATCTCAAGCAGCTCACCCCCAGCATATCCCTTCAAGAGGCAGAAGGGTTGAGGTGGAGAAATTGGGCTTACCAGAGTTGTAAGTACTCGGCTCTGATCACTGCTCTGTACCGCTGGTAGCTGGCTTGTGTCCTAAGCTACGGGGGAGTCAAAGTGGGTGGCTGGCTGGACAAGGTACCCCGCCAGGCAACACACGGAAGGGCCTGAAGTGGCCCCCTCCCTTCTTGGGGAGGGGAAGAAGGGCAAGAGCAGACTCTTGCAGATGGCACAACTGGGCTAAGGACTCGGGTGCATCTGACATGAAGACGGCTTGGGAAAGGCGCTGGGGACATACCAGCCTGGACCGGGGGAAAGGAGGGAGTTTGGTCTCTAGATTCTGAACCACAAGAAGCCCTTCCAGGAATGGAAAATGCCTGGGAGGGACAGATTCCTAAGAGAGGCAGATTTCCCAGAAATGAATGCCTCTTACCCACTGGGATAGGAACCAAAGTGTGTCTGCTAGCCCTGTCAAGCCAAGGGCAGGTGGCATGGCCTTCCTTGCCGGCTCATGGGTGACAGAGTGTTGTTTCGGCGTCCTCTATGAGACCAGTGGTTTAGCCTCTGTCTAACACAGGCACATGGGCGAGGGCTATCCCTTGGGACTCCTCAGCAAGAGTCCCCAGGAACAGTGGGTATTCAGCAGAGAAATGTAGGCTCTTCCAGTGGGGGGTGGGGTGGGTGCGGGAAGTTTCCTCCCCTCAGGTCATCCTATGGTTGGCACAAGTCAGAGTTCCTGGTTTGGATTTAGCGAGCCCCTTCCCAGACGTTAGCAGAGGCCCAAAGGGCCAACAAGGAACAACCCAGAATCTGCCGAGAGCTCTGGTTGACAGAAGCCATTTGGGGGACATTCTTAGTCAGTGTCTTCCGGGGCCGGGCTGAGACGGGCGAGGGACGTGGGAAGTGCTGTGGGTGGGGGAGCTGCTTGCTCTGGCTCCCCTCAGTCCCAGTCCTCCCACTCTACGTCTTCCAGCTGCAAAGGGGAGACAATGGAGATAATGGAAAGCACGAACACATATTTACTCCTCTGAGTCAAGTCCAGACCCAAGCTCCCCCGCTGCCCCATTTCAGGATAGCCCTCCCTGCAACCCCAAGCCCCACTCTCCTGGGCTGGACCCTGCCTATGAGAATGAACCACTAGCCTCAAGTGGGTGTCTGGGGAGCAGAGCTGCCCTCTGCCTAAGGGGTGGGTCTGATGGTTCTAGACTCAAAGGAAATGCTTCTACCAGCCAACCCTGGACACCACAAGGGGCCTGCCTGCAACAACCCAGTCAGTCAGTCCCTTAAGGAGAACTTGTCTCCTGCTGAGCAGAGAACACAGCTCCAAGAGGCAGAACTTGAGAGTGGCACTCCGATCAGAAGCCAGTGCGGCACAGGACTAGAGGGGCTCACCGGGCCTTCACTGGGGGCTCTAGCACCCTAATCCCCTGCTGAAGTCTTCCAGGCAACTCTCTCTCGGCCTGCTGTCAGCGGATCCCCTGGTATAATGGGTTATAGAATGACTCTGTTCAGGTATGTTTTATGTCGGGTTTTAAAGAGGGCTACAAAGACATCAAAGCCATGATGGCCCCGTGGCGTGAAGGGCACCACGAGCCTTCTTTCCTCTGGGTATAGTGAGGTCACAGGTGTAAAATACTCTTGTGTAGGTCACTGTGGCCCCCAGCCTTCAGTCTCCCAATATGAAAAACAAGGCCCTTCCCATCTCTCGAATCTGTTCCCTCTTTATAGCAGGTTCCCTGAGCTATGTGATGGAAGGAATCATGGGGTTCTTGTGTGACAGTTCTTGATAGAACACTGATGTGAATCAGAGGTGTGGGCTGGAGCCTAAGTCCTGTCCCTTACTAGCTGTGAGAGCTTTTTGCCCAGCCTCTCCTTCACATCATTTTTCATTTGGAGAGGCAGTGAAGAGTAACAGTAATAGGCCTCTGAGCTTCTATTTTGTGGTGGTTTCAGGAACTTCTATCAGTGCTCCCATGTCCCAGGCACTGTGCCTAACTGGAGCACATGCATCATCTACCACAGCGTGTGAGGTTATAATGACCAATGTCATGTTTAGATGGGGCAGCAGAGGCTCAGGTCAAGTGATCACACTGTCTTTTGTCTCCAAGGCCAGGGTCTTAAGATCCCACACCTGGTGAGCATGAGTCACAAGATCTGGGGCAGGGTCTGGCGTGTCTATTTCTTTGGTGGTTCCTCAGGTGATTCTGATAGGAACTAATGTCAAGAACTGCCCCCATTCACTACTCTGGAACTCAGGGGAAGCAGAGCCTGAGCCTGCTGATGACCACTGTTCAGGGCCTAAGCGGGAGGTCTTGGCTCCCTTCCCGCAGCCGGCCACCTCAGATGGGAAGGGATCCACCGTGCGGGGACAGTAGGGCTTGGTGGGGAGAGTCCTCAGACTTGGGATCATTGGGTTTGCTTCCCTGTGGCCCACCATCAGCAGGCCCACTCACCTCACCGGAGGCATCCACTTTGGAGAGTGCCATCTGCACTTCTTCTTCAGTCATGTCCAAATCAAAGTCCTTCTCCCAGTCCTCACTGATGTCTGTGCTCGAGCCTAGAACCATGATCCACAGTGTGAAAGACAGGAAGGGCATGTGAAGAGGCTGCAGCTGGGGGTGATGGAACTCTTTAGAAGGGCCTGACAAATACACACCAAAGGGCTTACATCCTGCTATCTCTGGCTCAGTGATCCCACTTTTAGGAATCTATATTAAGGAAAAATCCTGGATTCAGTAAAAAAAAATTTAACCAAAAGGATGTTTACTATAGTGTTGTTACAGTGATAAAAACTTAAAAAACCACCTAAAAGTCCTCTGCTAGGGAATTATAAAAATAAAGGGTATAGTCCTATGATGGAATGTTATGTGGCTTTTAAAGGTCAGGTTATAGAACGTTTGTATGCATGGCAAAATAATCTTACACTATTAAGTGAGAAAAAGTAAGTTACTGAGTAGTGGAGAAATACTTTGGTCTAGAAACTCCCTGGGAGCCATGGAAATCTCTCAGAAAAAACAATGAACCTCTTCCTCCTTAGTCACTCCATTCTACCTACACTGATCCTGCTGCTCCTGAATCATGTCAGGCACATTCCCACCTAAGGCCTTTCCAAGGACTGTTTCCTGTACCTGGAACTCTTCTTTAGATACCCAAAGGCCAACCTGCTTACTTCCTTCACACCTTCGCTCATATCTGACCATCTAAATGTGGCCTGCCCCGATCATCCTATTTTCAGTTGCAACCCTATCCCCCTCACTCTGCTCTGGACGGTCTTTTCCACTGTATTTGTCACTTTCTAGTGTATTACATCATCAGGTTCCCTGTGCTTGTTGTCTAATAATAGAGAAACTAGAACGTGAGCTCCTGGAGGACAGAGATCTTCTATTTTCTTATGTATTCCAAGTGACTAGAACAAATAGTTTGTACTCAATAAACATCCCTGGACTCTTTCTCTAAATCAGGGGTTGGCAAGCTATGGCCTGTGGACCAAATCCAGCCTACCATCTGCTTTTGGAAATAAAATTTTGGAACATAGCCATGGCCATTTGTTGACATATCACCTATGATTGCTTTCATGTTGAAAAGACAAGAGTTGAGAAGCTGGGACAGAAACTATGTCCCCCGAAGCCTAAATATTTGTGACCTGCCTCTGTACAGAAAACATTTGCTCCTTCCTGTTCTAGGTGATTCTGACGCCTGCTAAGGTTTGACAGCCACTGCTCCAAACATGCCTATTTGGGTATGCCTTCTTATAGGCAATATTAAAAAAAAGTACATATGAAAGTTATTACTGAGAAGAAAATGACAAAAATAGTTCCTGTAAAAAAATACATGCAGTATGATTTCATTTAAAAAAATATGCTCACAGATGCAGGCACAC